CAGCTCAAATCGCCCATATGCCTGACAAGTCCGCCTCATCCCATGCACATGCATGTTTACGACCATTGCTATAAAGAATGAAAATTGGTTCCACCGCACAATGCAAGTGTAGACAGCAATGTGTAGCAACAGGTCAGGCAAGGAAGATAAGCTCAAACCTGTATCAACCAACAATAAGAGAATAATAGGAGATCTTTTGTTATAAAAATGAGCTTAGAAAGTAAACACTAGATGAACCAATGCCAAATGAACCCCTTATAATACTCCCGAAAGAAAGATAGAAGGGTCACTGACTTATTCGCACAAGGTTCCTCCGTTACTCGCATGACTCCTCATTTCCCGGGTGCATCTCAGTGTCCAGATCTTCCACTACAATAGCACTAACAGAACGTTGTTGACACCAAGGTCTCCACCCAAGAAATGAAGGTTGCTAATCCGGAAAATGTCAATAACGCTAATAAGTGTGACCAACTTCATCATATGCCCAACAGCAAACATCACAACCATGACCATGTCCTCGCCCTTGTCCTTGGACTCGAGTAGCAGCAACATCAACCTCCATTAGAACAGGACCATCGTGTAAGCTCCTGAGTTTGGACTTCCCAGGAGGTCACCCAGCCTAGTACTATTCAAACCCAATTAGAACAGGACCATCGTGTAAGCTCCTGAGTTTGGACTTCCCGGGAGGTCACCCAGCCTAATACTATTCAAACCCAAGGACGCTTAATCCCAAATATCCCAAGACCCTTAACCGATTGGAAAAGGGGGTGCACTCTTGTTCATGGGCCCTTTCCCTCTATATTTGAACCCCTATGGATAGTCTCTCGAGTCGTTCCCTTTGGTTGCTTACAATCCACTACGCTTCCCTGCAAGTTCACACCCTCGTGAACGGAAGCTAAGAGCCGCAGCTCTCCCGAGAGCCCCGCTCTCTTGACACCCTACCCCTCGGGTCGAGCCCAACGGGAGCAAACTGGACCAGCCAGATGTCAATCAACATGTGGTGCAATTCCCTTAGCCAACCAACAGAGTCGGACCCGAGACCCCTCTGATACCAAATGTAAGCTCCTGAGTTTGGACTTCCCGGGAGGTCACCCAGCCTAGTACTATTCAAACCCAATGACGCTTAACCCCAAATATCCCAAGACCCTTAACCGATTGGAAAAGGGGGTGCACTCTTGTTCATGGGCCCTTTCCCTCTATATTTGAACCCCTATGGATTGTTTCTCGAGTCGTTCCCTTTGGTTGCTTACACATCGCCCATGGGAAGTGGAGTAGATGGACGGGCAATGAGAAGTGGAAAAGGCGACGTCTCATAATGTTGTGCTAAGCAAAGAACATTGTCAAGGATGGCTGGAGCAAATGTATGCACAAGTCTAACAAGATCTTGACGAAGTGCTAGCCACAATATTCCTAGCTTGATCCACTCCGACATATTTGGCTCCGCACGAAGCAAGAAGCTTCAGAAACGAATGCCAAATTGCATCACCGACTCAGATAGCCCTTAATGAAAATAATGCAATTGTTAGAAAGCATTATTACAATCGTTAGCATGTCCAAATGCGCGTCTAAAGATGTTCAAGAGAACACTCCAATCCCCACGAGTGGCTGCATTCAAACCATTGTACCACTATAGCGCCATCCCTTGGAGACACGTGGGAAACTTACGCAAATGTCGAGCATCATCCCAAAAATGATATGTGGCAATCACCATAAAGTAATCAAACTAATGGTACACATCATCCCTAGGATTCCCACAAAAGAACTTTAGCCGAAGGCGAGGATTAGCACTAAGAGCAAGAGGAGTTGTACCACATGTTGTGAATGCCACCATCAACTAAGTTTAATTGTTAAATTGCAATCACATGGCATCAAGCAATTGCACCAACTGCTACTCTAGAGTCAAAGGAAGAAACTATTACTCTGTCATGAAGATGAATGAAAAGGAAAGAGCAAAAGAAGATAAATAAGAAGAAAATTAGAAGGAAAAAGAGATCTAGACCATAGAAAAGCTATATCTAAATCAAAATTCTGAAAGGAAAGAATAAAAGAAAGGAAATGGAAAAAGCTAGATCTAAACAATGTAAAAGCTAGATTTAAACCAAAATCCCAAATCCAAACACTCCTTAGGGATAATGAAAAATGCCCCTCATCTCCACTAATGTGAGTGCTTGGAATATGGAAAGGGAATATAGAAAATATGCATATCAATTAGCCCAAAAACCCTAGTTTTTATACAAGAGTAAGTGGTCTAGATTGAAACCAATCCGACGACTACCAAAATCCCACTATACTAATATTAGTATACATCATCGTAGTTATACACTTGGCCGTTACATTTCCATATTTCATGCACTCACAAAATTTTATTAATAAAAATAACTATTTTTTATAAAAAATAGTATATTCTAAAAATATTATAATTATAAGAAAACTAATAAATGTTTTTAAAATATTTATATAAAATGATTTTATGTTTATTTTTTATGTTGTTTCAACTACTTTTTCATGTAGGAGGACTAGGTGGTAGTGAATATACCTAAAATATACTTGGATATTTTTGGATATTTTACTATCTATTTAGATTAATCTTGTATTTATAATTTATAAACTTTCTTAAACACTTCCTAGTATATTCTAGATTATATTACTGATATGCAATAAGATTAATCTTTTTTATAAATTATAACATTTTTATACCACCTTCAAGTGCCTAAGCTCCAGAAGTCTGTTGAGAGAAAATCCAGGCAGATAATCCTGAGATGATGTTGACCATAGACAGGTACCTGAGGCTTGAGTACCAGTTGGAAGGCCACACCGAAGATCAAGATCCAGTATGATATTATTAAACAAACCAAACATTACTGCATAATGCACAACAAATTATTTTATTATCACTTTGTTATACTCTAACCCCTTTTTTTAAACACATAAATTTGGCCTTAGTCTAAATATTATGGTGCCAGTATAATAGGCTCCTTGGTTGGTCACTTTTGTCTTTCAATCTATATAGTTTGTTGGGAATCAAATGTTATGGCTTGCAAAAGCCGCTAAAACTGTGTCACGAACAGGATCACAAAGATTAAAGTACACAAAGATGGTAAATAAAAACAAGAACAAACAAGAGTAACAAAAATAATTAAATAAAAAGTGCATGGAATTTAGCTTGTGTAGATTTATGTTGATTCTTACCACCACTTGTGCACAAAGATTGTGGAACACATTGATCAAATTCAAGTGATTGAGTCAAGTCTGGGAGCAATGACCTTGAGAGATGTTTCTGCTTGTGCATAAGCAATGAACAATAAGTTTCACGAGACTATATTCTCACCATGGCAATCCAGAGGATTTGGTGTTTCTCTGGGTGGAAGTGAATCACATGCGAAAACAGGTTAAAAATCTTAACCAACAGTTCTAAGTTCTTTTGGTGTGTTAAAGATGAGATCCAGATTCAGGAGGACATGAATCAAGATGATGCAGTGCCTAGCTGCTTTCATGAGGATCTTCACTGGAATGAGGCTCCTCTCATGAGATGGAGGGATCTTTCTTTTCTTTGCTTTGGATCAAGATTCAGTCTTTTTTTCCCCATACTGCTAGGAAAGGTGGTGAAGACATTCGAAGAAGCTTAACTCATCAGCAAAGTCTAGTCACTGTTCAAGTTTCTACGTCACAAATGGGATTGCAACTTTTATCATAATCCCGAGGCTCATTCGTGCACTGCATGAGGATGCACTGAAGCAATCAAGCTGCTTCCAACTTTACTCCTGCAGATCCTACTTGATGTATCCATGCTGGTTTCTCATGATTTGTCACACAAACAACTATATCTGTGGAAAAACACCTTCATTATACAGCAGACACTTTCATCACATTTACCTTGAGATTTTGTGTTTAAATTATATTTATAATCACTTATTTATAAAGTTAAAAAGTATCTTAATTAAATAAATTAAGTTTTGTTACTATAACTTAACAATACAAATGATAAATATACATATAAAAACTATAATACTAAAAGCACAATGAAGAAGTAAAATTACTCAAGACAATAGAAGAAAACTATAGATCAAAGGTACAATAGCATTAACATATTAGACAAATCATAATAGAAAAATATATTATATTAAATAATATTTATGCCTACTTAGTGTTTTAGTTATGTTAGCAACCAGTGCAAGAGGTCCCGAGTTCGATTCTCGGAATGCCCCAATAATTGCACTGTCTATATAGAATTTTTATTCGTGCAAAAAGTGTTTACACCTTGGAGGCTAGCACAAGACCAGCAATTCCAAAAGTGAGAGCAACGCTTCCTCCATACTTCGTTCCAAACTCAGCAATGCTGATGAAGGAATCGATGGCAGCATAGCCCTTTGCATAGAGGTCTTTGCCAACGGTGTTGTAGATGGCGCGAACTGGAGCAAGCACGGCCTGGTATGCGTATGGCAGGTACTCGGTTGCACCGACAGCATCAAAGATGGAGTCCAAGAACCACTCGCTGTGAGTGGATGCTAGAACATTGTTCACCATGATACTGCCAGAGAGAGTGAGTGGGTTGTAGAGGCCTAGCTTCTCAACCTTTGAGATTTCTGGAGAAGTAGCACAGAATTGTTAGAAACATCCCACCAATATATTATGCTTTTTGCTTACCAGTGATTTTAGATGATTCCCACAGGGAATCTCCAACCTTGAGGTCCTCGGCTCTCTTGTACATGAGCTTCCCATTGACAGCAACGGGAACAAAGTGGCCTGCAGTGAGTTCCAACATGTTTGAAGCGCTGTGCACTTGGAAAAACTTGGAGATGGCATCAGCATCCTTGTGGCCGAATCCATATACATCTGAATAGATATTCTTGCCCACTGCAACCTGTGGAAAAGTTATACTTGGACAAGATTTGTAAATTTATGTGGAAGTATTCAACCTTGTCTCCAACATTAAGCTCCCTCACGAACTTAATTTCTCCATTATACATCTGAACAGTTGCATCTCCTATAATAGATTGAACATTGTATGAAGACAACGTGAATTCACATGAACCCTACCTGGGAAGCATCCTGGAGTGGCTGGAGGGGGTGGAGGAGTGGCTGGAGGGGGTCGAGTGCCTGGAGGAGGAGTGGCTGGTGGAGTGCCTGGAGGAGGAGTGCCTGGAGGGGGTCGAGTGCCTGGAGGGGGTGTAGCGCCTGGAGGAGGAGTGCCTGGAGGGGGTGTAGTGCCTGGAGTGGGAGGGGAGGCAGGGGGTGGCGTGGGAGGAAGTGAAGTTTGTGCCACTGCAATGCCTGCAGCGAAGGCGATGAAAGAAGTCAGGAAGATTAGAGCATTAGTATGAGCCATTAGAACAGAATTATGATATATCTAGCTAGCTCGAAACTGCTGGTTGCTAACACTCTAGAGCACGCCATTTTATAGCAGAATGTAAGCATCTAATGTTTGGTGTCGTGCATGAAAAATTCAAACATAGTTCGTGAATGGTGGTCCTACTTAAGAATTTTTGGTGAGATCCTAAATAACCATAAGAGCATAACCTCGAGAAAGGTTACATGCCTCGAGTTCCAAGAGTTGGAAGAGCGTAGCGGGGATTCTTTCTGGAGAGCTTGAGACCATCCTCTGGGGATGCAAGAGTGTTGAAGCGGTGGAAAGACGACACTGGCTTTCTCTAGACATATCAGCATTGAAGAATTGATGCCTGGTACGTAAGAATTCTTCTATAACTTGGTGTTCACAGGGTAGAAACAATGGCAGGAGGCAACCCAATGGTTCCCCGCATTTGTTTGGTGCATTTGTTTGGTCAGCGGAGTGGTGATCCAGAGAAGATTTCTGGAAGCGTACCAATCCAGCGACGCTGCGAATATTGTAGTTGGAGCGCTTGTGGTGATTGGGCTCATGGGTTTGTACTTTTGGTTCTTGTTGACTCTTATGCCTCTGGATCATCACCATGTTCCTTCACTGATCAAAGAAACATAAGAACGAGAAAGCAACAAAACAAGTTTCTGGGAGAAGAAAAACTTACCAATCATGGCTGAACACAACGAGAGCCCATTTCCTATGCTTCAAAAGTCTGGTGTTTGACATCATGCCACCTGAAACAAGCAAGCAAACGAGATAAGTAGAGAAACAACAAAACAAGAAGTAAACCTTCATACCCCTGGACAACTCACACTGAACGGCGGCTGCTTATGGATCTCCACTGAGTGGCTTTTTGGATGCATGAACAGAGGGAGCCCCTGATTCTCCCTTCAACCTTCAATAGCTTTGCGTCAACCACCTATTCCAGTCATGGGGACGTCCAAGCTTTGCTAAGTTTGTAGTTAAGATGGAAACAGCAAGAACGTTACCTGACGCTCGACTGTCCAAGGTGTGTGTTGCTCATAATGAAAAGAGAAGGACAGTACCGTTTCAAACCCAATTGACGACACTTTGTTTCGCTCAAAGCAAGAGCATCATTCCGACTCTAGGACTTGTCACCAAAACACCATGGAAGATCGAAAGAAACAGTGGAAGTTTGAGAAAACTAGAGAGATTGTCATACTTACATTACCACTTCTCGAGCAGACGATCAGCTTCCAGGAACTTTACTGGCGAATCAGTCAAGAGAGCAGGAGTGATGACAATCCAGCGTAGTTGGAATAGACTGATCTGGACGATAGAGTTTCGAGGTATTACAGGTGCTCCCTCGATTGTTCCATGAACAACAAGTACTGGTTGAGTCATCCATAGATTTAGAGCCGCTACTTCTCTGGTGAGCGATCTTGGAGGTGCGAAGATCCCGGATCATTGAGCTGGACATCCTCCGCAAAGACAAGATCCCTCCAAGATCACTCTGCGCCTCCATCCAAGATTGCTCAGCATCATATGCGCTGCGATTTACCAAATGTAAAAGCATATGCTCGTCTTTCAGCACAAGCTTAGTTCTTTAGAAACTACCTAAAGATAGATCATCCAAGCTTCTCTAGACATTAAAATCTTGACAATGCCGCCACTGCCAGTTCCCAATCCCTGGCAACCTATATCATGAAGCTCAATGCCACAAATTCGGATTTTTTGACTTTTGAAAATCCTGGTAATGGTTTTCCCTGTGCTTGATTGCGAGCGCATCCGAGCATTCGGCAGCATTTGGCATCCCACAATTTCGACTTAGGGAATCGGGCTTGTGCTGGGCTTGGGCAGCCATGGTTAAGGACACGAATCAGGTGCGCAGCAGCGTGGTCAGGGTTGACTGGTTTATCCACCCACAGCGGATGGACTCTCGCTTGGAATCGTGGCATGTCTTCTTCTCGTGTCTGGAACCGCGGTCCTGAGGTGCAAAATTGGGCAGGACGGGCAAGCGACTCAATCAATGCCTGTGAATTGACGACGTGTTGGTGCTCACACCATTCCACGTCCGGCATGCTACCTGTCCTGTGTTTACCCACCGTTCTACGCCATTAACAATGTAGAGCTGTGTCGCTGTGTAAACGATGAGGATTTTTGTGCTGCTGAGGTAGAGCTTCTCGTCCTGTGCATGTGTGCGTTGGAGGTCTTGCGGGGCTTCCATCGCGCCCTCAAGACGCTCTGGAAGAAAAGCCTATGCTGGAAAGTAAAGCATGGAGCAAGAGGCTACAAGAAACTCATGAAGCCAAAGAAGAAAACTAATCTCACAAAAGAAAGACTGATTAAGTTCTAATATTCCTTGCTGGAGGGTTAGGGTTTAGTGCGCGTCCATTCTGGCGGGGCTTGGATGCGAAGCAGAGTTGCTGGTGTTGAAGAGCATTTTCTTTCTGGAGGCCGCGTTAAATCACTGCTTGGAGCGGCAACTGGTGAGTGGTGATCCCAACTTCAGGCATGAAATAGCTATGCTTGTGGAGCTGGCCACCGAGGGATCGGGATCAATGGCGGTGGATGTCGATCAAGCCAAGCCACGGGTCAGCCAGCTTGCTCACGGCATGGTTCTAGCGTTTTCTCGCGAAGCCGACGATGATTTGAATGAAGCTGCAAGGATCAGTGGCCGCCGGGCCTTGGAGGGTGCCATCCACGAGCTTTGCAAGCTGAATCCAAGCTCTCAAGAATCTGGAGCTTGAGCCCGAGGAAGCTCTTGCTGCATGGAGCACAGTGTTTGAAAGGGCGGGCGTGAAGAGGGTTTGGGAGCATCGGGTTTGCTGTCACAGTGGGTCTGCCATCAAAGCTCTTGAGTTTCCTTCGCTTGCAATGCTCATCCATGCCAGCATTCTTATTATCGAGGAAAGGCGAGGGATAAGATGGCAGCCGTACGGCGGTAGCAATCGTACGGACAGATTAGAACATGAATGCATTTATTCGAGAAACAAAAATAAAATAAAATCTATAAAACACACTGATTCGCAACACTTTTGCCTTTTAGAAAAGGTGTATGTACTTATACTAAATATAAGTAGAAAGCATAAATATAGAATATCCTCAAAGTTTTGACTTATAAAATCTAGACAGTTAATTTTTAAATTTATTAAAACCCCATTTCGAGTTTTGATCAATCAATTCAAGAAGCTGCCGGGGACAGGCTGATGATCCAGCGGCACGAGCGTCGACAAGAACCAAAAGTACAAACCCATGAGCCCAATCACCACGAGCGCTCCAAATCCGATCTTCGCAGCGTCCCCAACCTCGCTCGCTCGCAGAAACCTTCTCTGGATCACCGCTCCGCTGTGATCACCGAGGAGACCAAGCAAACGTGGGGAACCGCTTGACTGCTTCCTGCCATTGTTTCTACCCTGTAAACACCAAAGTCATTGGAGAAAACAAAAGCGAGAAAGCAATCTCATTCTTTACGTACCAGGCATCGATTCTTCAATGCTGACATGCACTCCTCGGCGCGATCTAGAAAGCCAGCGTCGCCGTCTTTCCACCGCTTCAACACACTGGCCGACATTTGCATCTTCGATTGATGGTCTCGAGCTCTCCAGAAAAGAATCCCCGCTACGCTGTTCCAAAAACTCTTGGATTCTATCAATCCATCCCGACTGCTACTAGAACTGCCACTGCTACTGCTGCTGCTGCTGCTGCTGCTGCTGCTACTGCCACTCGAGAAAAAACCATTTCGTTCGTTGTGATGACAAAACCCATTGCAACCGTCCACAGTGTCGATTCTGATAGAAATACTTGGAAGGCTGTCGAGCAAAACGTCGTTGTCGTTGCCCTGTTCTACCTCGCGTTCTTGGACGGCTATGGCGGTCGGAGAGCTACTATCTACGTCGTCACTACCCGATAGGAACAGTGCGAGGCACTTGCTGTCCGCCTCACCAATGCTCGCGTACTTGAGCTTCTTCTTCTCTAAGCAATCGCCAATCTCTTTCTCCATATTACACACCTGACTCTGGATCGCGTTCACGAACTGGGTGTGACGAGATTTCGCATCCTCGCCCAGGTAGACACGCTCGGCGGCAGCATTCGTTGCGACTTTCACTGCCCTCGCGAATTCTTCCAACTGGAAAGAAACGAAACTTAAGAACTGACAGAGGAAAAAGCGGTCTAAAGTTCTGGAAAGTAAGTTCCAGCAAAAGGAGAAAGTCTAAAAGGGAAGAAGGTTGAATCGACTTACTTGCCATCTGACCGTGTCGAGAGCAGTGATAAGGTCGCGCTTGTTCGCTTTCACCGCCGCAATGATAGAAGAATCTTCCGGAGTCTCCTGCGCAACGCCCTGGGTGTATTTCCAAGCACGATAAATCGATTCCATTCTGCAAGGATGCTCATTCCCATGAATCCAATCACCCTTTGGAGCTCCAAAGCAAGAAATCTTACCTGTCGGTCGAGTTTTGCACCTCCTCCGCAGCCGGAAAGAAAGGATCTAGCTCCCAGAAGGAGAGATTGCTCGCCATAGCTGGAGAGCGAGATTTCCCTGCCCTAAACCCTGTTCCCACACTGCTCCACTCGCCGCGCACTTGCTTAGACCGATCGATAGCGACGGCGGGGAGGCGAGAATCGATAGCGATCGGAGGCAACAGCGCGTATTCGATCAATCCATGGCCGCCATGGCGTTGAGCAGGCACCAGCCAGACGAAGACGCCCTCGTGTGGTCTTTAAGCGCGACAAGTAAAAGGGGAGGGGCCCCCGAGCCCTACCTTTAGCTTTGTTTTTTAACTGGTTCCTTTAAATAATAGCCGGGAAAGTGGGGGTTCGAATCTTCTAAAGGCCCCGCTATTTACTCTATTAAATCCTAGTCGTCGGTTCCGCCATAGATGTTGGCCATGAGGACGTACGCCGGTCCGTACGCCGCGTCCAGCCTTTGGAGGTTTTGGAAGGCCAGCCTCGCGATCTTCACATTCTTCCACTTGTGACAAGCGCTGAGAATCGCCGTCCAGGCCACGGAAGAATTCGATGGCGATTCTTCCAAGAGCTTGGACGACTCCACCATCGCCACTGCTGATTCGAGCTCGTTGTTCCTGCCAAGGATATCGACCATGCAAACGTAGTGCTCGATGCCTGGAGAAACTCCATACCTCGGCTCCATCGCATGGAAGTAGCTCTTTGCTCGATCGGCCAGGCCGGCGTGGCTGAATCCAGTGAGCAGCGACACGAAAGTCACTGCCTCGGGCTTGAGTTCTTCGTGCCGCATTTGCCGAAACATTCCAGCAGCGTTTTCCATGTCTCCCTGTCGGCTGTATCCCGAGATCAGCGCCGCGAAAGCCACCGAGTCCCTGCGAGTTTGCTTGTCAAAGACATGCCGGGAATGAACCATGCAGCCGCATTTACCGTAGAAGTCGACCAGGCATGTCTCGAGAACTGGATCGTCTTCCAGGCCGTGACGGGAGAGACGAGCGTGGATCGCTTTGCCGGTGTCCATGGCGACGACGCTACCGCAGGCCTTGAGCGCCGCGGCCAAAGTCCGGGGATCCTGCTCAAACCCGTTAGCTTGCATCCAGAAGAAGATCTCGAGAGCTAGCTCACCTTGGTCGCCGTCGGCGTATCCCTGGATCAAGGCGTTCCACGAGACGGTTGTGTGGGACTCCATCTTGTCGAACACTCGACGAGCGTCGAGCACACTCCAGCACTTTGCGTACATGTCCACCAGCGTGTTTCCCACGAAGATCTTCGTGTCGTCGCCTCCACTAGCGGCTTGCGAATGGACAGCCATCCCTTTGTCCAGTGATCCGAGCTTTGCGAGCATGCCATCCATTTGCTTCGGCTCTTCCTTCGACGCCAGGCCAGCGCAGGCCTTGAAAGCAGCGACGTAAGTGAGAGGATCTGGAGTGATGCCTTCGTCTCGCATCCTCGCAAACAGCTCTAGCACGGCCTCAAACTCGTCGGTGTCGGCGTATCCCAGCAGCAGCACAGTCCAGGATATCACATCCCTGTTTTCCATCTTCTCGAAATGCTGCCGTGTGTCTGCCATGCTTCCACACTTCACGAACATATCCAACACCGTGTTGAGGAGAAAAATGTTGGTAGAGTCACCGCAGCTCTCGACGGCCTGAGAGTAAATGCCCGTTCCTCTCTGCAGCGTTTTCACCTTCACGAGCTTTCCGTTGAATTGCTTGGCTTCTTCTTTTTCTGCTAGGCAGCAGCAGGCCTTCAATGCTGCAACGAACGTCCGAGAGTTTGGAGAGCAGCCTCGAGTTTTCATGCGCTCGAAAAACTCCAAGGCTAGCTCTCCCTCCCCGTTTTCAGCGTAGCCGAGAACCATCACTGTCCAGGAGACGACGCTGCGTGAAGCCATGCCGTCAAACACCCTTCTCGCATCCAGCATGCTCCCACACTTGGCATAAAAATCCATCGCGGTGTTTGAGACGAGCATGTCAGTGTGGAAGTTGCTCTTGACGGCTTGCAAGTAAATCTCGGTTCCCAGTTGCAGTGACTCGGTCCTCACCAGCCTTCCATCCACTTCCTTGGACTCCTCTCTCGATGCTAGAGCAATGCAAGCTTTGAGTGCGGCCACGAACGTCAGAGCATCTGGAGCACACCCTTCGGACTTCATGCGTTGGAAAAGCTCCATTGCCTGTTCCCCTTCTCCATTTTCCGCATGTCCCAGCATGATCGACGTCCACAAAACCACGTCTTTGCAAACCATCTTCTCGAAAACCTTGCGAGCTGCAGCGACATCACCACACTTCGCGTACAAATCCACTAAGCTGCTGGCCACGAACATGTGCGACTCGTATCCCCGTTCGGCAGCTCGAGAGTGGATGTCGACGCATTTTCTCAGAGTCTCGTTATTCACGGGTTTGCCATCTAGTTTCCTTCCTTTCTCCATAGCTGCCTGAATAGCGCAAGCCTTCAAGGCCGCAACGAAAGACTGCGCGTTGGTCCCGGACTCTATAGCTTCCATCTTTGCAAACAAGTCGAGAGCAAGCTGCTCTTTTCCATTCTCGACATACCCCAGCACCAAGGCATTGAAAGTAGCGGCATCGCAGCACGCCATTCTCTCAAACACCCTTCCAGCATCCACCATGCTTCCCAACTTTGCGTAGAGCTGGACCAGCGAGCTTGCGACAAATATGTTGGAGTCGCAGCAAAACTTCGCAGCTTCACTGTGGAGATCCATGCACGTCTCTAAAACCCGGAGCTTACACGGCCTTCCACTGACTTGAGTCTCGTCCCCTGACAGGTTTGCACAGCCTTTCAGGGCCGCGACGAACGTAAGAAAATTCGGTGGAGCTCCAGTCTGCCGCATTCTCGCAAATAGCTCTACTGCCGCCTCTGCTTCTCCGTTGTCCACTGTCCCAAGAATTATAGCGTTCCAGGAAACGACGTTGTGACAAGGCATCTTCTCAAACACCATCCGAGCGTTTTCCAAGCTTCCACATCTAGCATACATACTGACGAGAGTGCTCGCGACGAAAACGTCTTGTAAGCCAGTGCTGCGTCGAACTTGAGCGTGAATAGCCAGGCCCTTCTGCAAAGCCTCGATTTTCACAAGCTTTTCTCCAATCTATAGATTTTCCAATTTAGCTAGAAGCGAAAGAAGAAAAGAAAAAAGCTTACTTGCTTGGGCGATTCCTTGGCTGCAAGACCAGTGCACGCCTTGATCGCAGAAACAATGCTTCTCGCGTCGGGAACACACCCTTGAGCTTGCATGCGATGGAAAGCATCCAAAGCTACTTGTTCTTCACCGATCTCCACATAGCCGAGGATCAAAGTGTTCCAAGTCACGACGTTGTGGCGAGGAATGGAGTCGAAGACTTTGCGAGCATCTTCCATGCTGCCACACTTGGCGTACATGTTGAGAAGGCTGCTAGCCACAAAGAAGTTTGAGGCTTCCCCGGTCTTTGTAGCATCTGCGTGACAGACTTTCCCCTTGTCTAAGTCTCTCGACACTGTGCATGCCTTGATAGCAGCCAGCAAAGAAGCTCTTACCTCGTCGCGAGAAGAATCACACCGCCCATGGGCCACATTACGGCTTGCAAGCTCTCCAGAAGACCACTGGAAGAGCACCAAGAGAAATCGATAAGAAAACGCGAAGAACAGCGAGATTATACCTGTGAAATGTGTATCGACTTGATATGGCAGAGATTGCGACCAGCGAAGAGGATTTTGATCCCTTGGTGCCCGATTCTTCCAAGAAAACGAAAGATCTCCACACCCGCATTTTTCATCCAAAATCTCTACTCCATCGCGAAGATTTTGATCCCTTGGAACCCGATTCTTCCAAGAAAATGAATGATCTTCGACGCACCCGCATTCTACTCCATCAAACGAGCTGGCATCCCGCCCTGTATTGCGAGATCACGCTCATTTTCTACAAACCCTAGTTCTTCCCTCCCACGGGGTTTAGGGTTCTTCCACAAAATGGCGAGAGTGAAGCTGGAAGGCGCCGGTATTTTCAAGTCGATGGCGATCGATCCCGCCGGCCTCGCAGTGGCTGAGGCGGCATTCACGCCTCTCAATCTCCTGGCATACGATGGCGCTGGTCGAATTTTCATGTGGGATCTCGAGCGCCGGCTGCTCCATTCTCTCCAGATCGAGGATTCTACCCTCGATGATCAGTCGGAGTCCCTCTATGCAGCGAGTGAGAGCAAGGTGAGCTCAAAATTACCTCCATTTTCTTTGATCGATGAGAATGTAGATAGACCTTGAAGCTCAGCACAGACGTTTCCTTTGCTGTGAGGAGTCTCAAGCTGAATCGAACGGGAGAGCTGCTGTTACTGGCTGGTGAAAGAGCTCTCATGTTCGTGAGTGTGGTCTCGCAAGCTTCACAGCCATGCCGGTAAGTTTGTCATCATCCACAGCGTTGTTTTTCCTTGATTACTCTTCTTTCTTTTTGGCAGATCTGGAATGATTGCTGGGGATATGTTTAATGGCCGGTCTCTGCGAGTACTTCATGCCGCTTGGCATCCTTACAGTGAAACGCACCTTGGAGTGCTATCCTCGGACGGGGTTTTCAGGTATGAATTCGTCAGTAGTGACAGCGCTTGAGGTAATGAGTTTCCCTTCCAGACTATACAACTTAGCTGGAGATATCACGGTGCCAGAACAAGAGTACCACTTGCAGATTGGTGCTCGCTCCAAACCATATTGTCGCGCGGTATCATTTGCTTTTGGCGGTGAGCACTTTTGGGACCGGTTTACGGTAAGAAGTTGGTTTTTCCTCAGGGTACGAAACTTCTATCATCAATAATTTTTACAAGGTTTTTGTTCTTCTTACGGATGCATCGATCTATGCTCTTTGTCCCATAGTGCCATTTGGAAGGTAAAAATGCGTAGAGTATGAAGTCAGTGATTTACAAAAGCTTTTTGCAGCCTTCATTATGGTTCAAGTCTTAAAGATCTGGCCGGCCAAGTGTCGAACAACTCTCCCACGGCAAAGGAAAGCTCGAGGCTTGCAGCTGTTTGGCTCGAGATTGTCTTCCCGGAGCTTGGTGATGCTGAAAAAGAGCTGGAAACCTCGTCAGTGTTTAGAGCTCGTCCCCAGGTTCCCTTCAATGCGTCGTTGGTGCTGCAGGTATGCCACTTGATTTTTTCTTTACTTCCCGGTTCTTATAGTATGTTGTGCGCAGGGGCCTCTTCCCAAACTATCTGGACGTGAGAATGATCACAAAATATCGAGCTATGCCACTGGGATGCTGTATAATACCGCTGGGAAGGATAGCGTCATTACCGTGTGCACAAAAAACGGGGAGATGTTCTTTTATGCGATTGCTGATGAAGTCCATCCTATGTGGAGCTTGGACAACAACCCCAAACTTCTCCAAGACGATCTAGGCGATTTGGTAACTTTGGCAATGCTCGTGGAACCGAGCGCAGAGAAAGATGACGCTGCACAAACTGCCGACGAGGACACGGAAGAAAAGGAAGAGGAGCAGTTTATCGGACCGAATCCACCGCTTTTGCATTTGGCGTCGGTTGATCTAGCACTGGACACAGAGGTTTACAATGCCAGTCCTTTGGGAATATTTTCGGACCCTCTTGTCCCCGAGCGGATATATTGTCATCATGCGATGGGACTCGACACCATCCAGCTTCAGTGGTTACCATTTTCAGATACGTTTTCTGGTGAGAGCAGGGAACCGCCTATTGTGTTTCCAGTTCTCGAAACATCGGCCTCAGGAAACTCTGCTCCTGTTCCTCTTCTCGGTGCTACTGTAATTCTCCAGTCTTCCGGCGATACATGGCTGGTGGTTCTTACAGCTTCGGGAAACTGTGCTGTTGTACACATGAAACCGCATCGACCTCTTCCTCCAGTTGCTATCGAGGACACCAGTATTCCAGCGACAAACTCCGACCAACCTTCGCTCAAGCTTATCAGCAGTGATTTGCTGCTCGGACCGAAAGATATACACATCCCTCTGGTACAACTGATTCGCACCTTGAGATGCATGTCTTACATTCTGTGCAGATTTCGGCTTCTACACCTCTTACTTTGAATACTGTTGAAGGTCGCTCCATCCTTCACGATCAAGGCAAGCTGCTGCACGAAAAATATATTGAGTATGCACACAGGGTATGGCTTTCTACGTTTGATGTTTCATGGTTTTAGTTATGATATGACGAAACAGGTGCACGTCGAGCTCAAGTCTCATCATAAGTACCTCGGTCACGTTGTTCAAGATCTGCAAAGGCAGCTGCGTCAAGTGACTGGCGAGCTTGATCAAGCTCAAAGTAACTTGGACTCCTTCGTAACTCGCATACAGCGAGCATTTGAGAAGAACGTGCAGTTACAGGAGCGAATTCGGGAATGCAACAAGCTGCCAGCTTTGAAACAAAAGGTTCTGACAGTCGCAGAGCGGGAGTTCAAAGATCTTCTGGGTATGCCACACATATATACGGAAAACATATTCACCTGACCTTACTGTTTCTGTGACGCAGATAGAAAAATGAATCAGGACGTCGATATCCTACAGTCTGCAGTGGAATCACTTACCTTGCGCGCTGAACGTGTTGCCAAAAAGAAAGTTGGTCTTAACAGTGCTGGACGCCGGAACAGCCCAAAGCTTGCGGTTCCAGACAGTAAAATGCGAACTATGAGGCAAGCATTAGACAAGCTGGGGCAATACATTGAACTCTCAAGTCGAAGAATAGACATTCTGGATCAAACGGTGAAACGAAAGGAGAGTCAGCTGGAATCCTGAGAATGTACGTGCGGCTGTAGTACTACATTCAGGTAACGATTTCCAATGCTTTGGAGTTATCCGATTAACAGATTCTTTACAGATTAATTCTTCTGTTTTGTTGGAAGAACAAAAGTAAGCATTGCTTCGAGTTGCAAACTAGCAATTGCTTTACAGCAGTCCAAGTACTGGACATGTGCCACAAGTCTGCTAGCTCTGGTTCGCTTTCTTTTTTCGGGTTTTATTATTAAAGGTAAAGTAGAGGAGACAGTCCGTGAATGGGAATGGTGGACCATCAATCCAGACTTGGAGTGGGTAAACACTTTACTTTGGCATGGGAAGGTTTGCTATGCTTCTTACTTGGCCTTAGCTCGTCTTTGTTGTAGCGGAGCTGTCAGCTGCAGCGGTAATTCATCAGCAAGCAGGGGTCTCTGTCAACATCCTTTGCCTTCTGCGTCGAAATTGACTTCGCTTCCCCATCGCAGCAGCGTTTAAATCACTGAGGACACAAACATCATCATGGTGGCAATGCGTGTAAAGAAGAAACGCGACACTCATACTCAATCGAGAAGCCCAGTCAAGGTAGGCCAAAAATCACCCCTTTCTTGCTGTTTTGCTAACTTCTCTACAGATGGGAGGAATAGCAGCTCTTCTAGCAATTCTCCTACTTGTCTACGCGCAAGAAACATCAGCAGAGCTGAGAAGCCCCGGAACATGGAACCTGCTGGTGAACAATGCAGGAATCTCCGCAATGCACATGGTTCTCACGCACAACAACAAGGTGATCCTCTTCGACGGCTTCAGCTCGGGTCCTTCCAACATCAGCCAGCCGAGTGGAGAATGCAAGAACACCGGAAGTCGAATCCCGGGGAAGCTCGACTGCAGCGCACACTCGGTTGAGTACGACGTCGCTACCAACACCATCCGGCCGCTAACAATCTACACAGACACCTGGTGCTCGTCGGCGGTCACTATAGCAGACGGTACGCTTGTCCAGGTTGGTGGTCTCAACAATGGCTCACAGACCGTGCGGCACCTCGCTGCCTGCCAGAGATGCGACTGGGTTGAATCACGCCAGAGGCTCGCGGTGAAGCGGCGGTTTTCGAGCAGCCATCTCTTGCCGGACAACCGCGTTATTGTCGTCGGTGGCCGCGGACAGTTTAGCTACGAGTTTGTCCCCAGGCAGGACAACGAAGGCGTCCACGAGCTCTCGTTCTTGGCGGAGACCAACGATCTATCGCAGGACAACCTCTACCCGTTCGTCCATCTCACACCGGATGGGAACCTGTTCGTGTTCGCAAACTCCGATTCCATTCTCCTCGACTACAAGACCGGCAAAGTCGTCAAGCGGTTTCCCAGAATGCCAGGCCTCGAGGCTCGAAACTACCCGTCCTCGGGCTCCTCAGTGATGCTGGCACTCGAGGGAGCGTCCGACTACTCGGACGCGCAGATCCTCGTCTGTGGAGGCGCCGATCCATACAACTACGCGCAGGCCAGCCGGGGGAACTTCCTCAACGCGTCGCAAAACTGTGGCAGAATCAAAGTGGGCGACGCGTCGCCGAGCTGGGCGATGGAGGCCATGCCGATGCCGCGCGTCATGGGCGACATGCTCTTGCTTCCAACCGGGGACGTGCTCATTATCAACGGCGCACAGCGCGGTACCGCCGGGTGGCGCAACGCCCGCAACCCAGCACTCCATCCAGTGCTCTACAAGCCAAACTTGAAGCTCTACAACCGGTTCCAGACGCTCACCGCCGCTTCTCGCCCGAGGCTCCACCACTCATCCGCCATCCTCCTTCCAGACGCCAGCGTCCTTGTCGGCGGTAGCAATCCAAACGGGCGGTACTCGTTCGCCACTGCCACAGACGGGGTCTATCCAACCGACGTCTCACTCGAGGTGTTCTCTCCGCCTTATCTCGACTCGGACTATGCCGCGCGGCGTCCCAGCGTCACCTCGGTCAGCACCGCCAGCCCCGCCCACGGCGCCCGGCTCACCGTGCGGTACCGCCTGCGAGGACACTTCTTCCCCGGTACCACCAGCGTCGCACTGCTCGCGCCACCTTTTGCCAGCCACGCGGTCTCCATGGGCCAGAGAATGATACGGCTACCACTCCACAATGTGACGCTCGTGGACGATGCTCCAGCCTCCATCTCTGGCCGAGTCCCAACTTACGAGATCGAGACCACGGCTCCTCGCAGCGCCAGCGTTGCTCCCAGCGGTTACTATATGCTCTTCGTCGTCCATGCCGGACTTCCAAGCCATGCTACCTGGATCAATCTAATGTGATGAGAAGGAAAAACCATAGAATCAAGTAAAGAGATTTACCAAGTGAAGAACACAGAGCCTGAAATTTCGATCTGGAATATACAAAATGAGAGAAATGACAGCAGCTTCTCTTCACCGGAAAAAGCCTTGCTACGATTGCTTTGTTAGTCTTTTAACGGATGGAATACTTTCCTGTAAATTCCTGTCTCGTCTCGTTTTCTTCGAAAAACCAAGGAGTGATAAAGACGGACGGACCTCGCTCAATAGTAGTTCCTGCCTCTCCCACGACCAGCTCGCCACTGCCTCCTTCCGCCGCCACCACCACCTCCGCCTCGAGAGATTCCGGCGAAGGCCTTGTTGACGAGGTGCTGCTGCTCGGGTTGACGCTGTTGGTGTTGATGTTGCTCGCCTCGAGCCCTCTTTGTGGTCGCTCCATTGTTTGCAGCTGCTGGACGCTTGGCTCTGTGCGCAAGAGTGAGGCGAAAACAAAGTAAGGAAGCACTCATTGGAAGGAGAGCTTTTCTTACCCCGAATTGGCTGGCGCGGAAGCCTGTGTCGCTGTGGCTGCGGCTGCGGCGGGCTTAGCCGCCTCCTTCCACGAGGGATTGAAGTTCTTTGGGCCGCCGAGGAACTCTGGTGTTTTTTGTTTCAAAGGCTGTGGAATGAACACAGTTTAGTGCTCCAAACACGTACGCAAATCAACTACAAACCGTTATCAGCTTCGTGATGTTGTTGCAGGATCTCAGTCCAACCCCTAATGCTACTTTTTTCGCTTTCTGGAAAATCGCATCGGTGATTAGCTGGAGTTTTCTAGACTGGAAAACTTACTTCTTCTGCTTTTCCGTTCTCGTCTTTGGCAGCTGGTACTTTAGTCATCCCTTGCGTCAATTTTTTCAGCGTGGATTTCGAAAGGCTTTCCGCAACTTCCAGCCTGATCACAGGCACTGAAAACGTTAAGGATCTGGTCTACAATGCAATGACTTGCCTCTCAATGAAGTCCTTGTAAAGGTCGGTGAAATCTTCCCCGAGACGGTCAGATGGTTGGCCAGTCACGATCTTATATCCACAAAGGCTATTTGTAGAATTTGGCGACTGTACATTGTAATAGACTATCAGTAAGAGAAAAGAACATGAGCAGGAATTACCTTATGTGCAAGCTGATGAAACGCATATAGCAGGCATTCTACATGCAGATAGTTGAACTCTTCGGTTGTTTTCCTTTTCGGCATGTACTTCTGCATGAAACATATAAGCACTACATCAGTCTAACGACATTCATACCTTCAACAACTGCAAGATGGTAGGCAGAAGATTCCTGGCATCTTGCGCCGACGAGAATTGCACACTCTCGGCAATTTTCTTTAGCAACTCAGTTTTCTTGTCTTCTGGCAGCTGAAGAAACACGACAGCAAATACTATAAATTCGAATACTATAAACAGTGGTACAGACCTTATCGAAGGCAGGAAATAAAGACTTGTTAATATAGTTCAGAAACTTGCTGTTTGAAGCGCCCCTCTGGCAGATAGCAAACGCCAATAAGAACAAAGAACTTCTTTTTGCATACCGCATAGAAAGGAAGCGACATGAACAAACACGCCATTAAGCGGTCAATGTGATCGGTGTCCTCTACCTATAAATTTTGAGAATGAGTAGCAGAAAAGGAAACGAAGGTGTGCCTTACTTTGAACTGCGAATCCAAATCAGCCTGCGACTCTACAATTTCCAAAAGCTCCTGCACGCGCTCTTGCGGAGCTTTCTCGCCAAAAATGCTAAGACTCTTAAGGAACTCCATGAACATTTTAAACTCTGCTCCTGTAACATCTTGTAGGCTCTGTCATCGGTACCACGAAGTGAGTATAAGAACATTGAGAAAAAGCATTAGTAAGATATCCCACCTTCTTTATTAGATCCGTTACGTGACGCTCCATTTCTTCTTGCGGTTGAAGGAGGTCATTCTTTAAAGGGAATACCTGGTTCATCGCTACCATAGTTAATAATCTGTTCCCGAAACGATAAAATAACCAACCTTCTCACGGATGAAAGCCAACACTTTCTCGCGGAGGTTCTCGTCGCTGTTTTCAACGTGCTTAAACAGTGCCGTAAGAGTAGCTGCATACCACCCATGCATTAGCACAAAACGCATAAGACTCGAATGCTCAGGCCACACCTTTGGCATCTTGTCTTAAGATGGACATGAGAGCTTTCTGAACAGCATCCTTCTCAAGTGGTTCTTCTGCCAAAATGATAAACACGTAAGTTAAAACAATAGCGGACAAACCAAGAAAGTTACCTGTAATCAGCAGTTGCCCCAACACATCCGCGACTTTTGGAAGCAAATCTTTGGAATCCTTGCAAATTGTGGCTAGTCCTCTGACAGCTTGAACAGTAATCTGCAACGAAGGAAACAATCACAAAAACAAAACAGAATTACCAACAGCTGACATATAGATCACGCTTACCCCAAGCTCCTCTTCCTCGCATAAATCGAGCTGTGCTTCCAGGCTCCGGACCGACAAGTTGGGGAAGTACTTGAAGTAGCGAGGAATCAGCTGCGCGGCGAGCTGCTTCACCTTTCCTTTAGACTTTGCTGCTTCTATGATACCGAGGTAGTCACTTTCATTCTGCTAGGAGTCATGCCAGAGTTGGGAGTGAACTAACAACGAAAAATTGCCACACCTTCGACTTGTCTTCCGAGTTACTAAGTCGTTCCCCATACTCATAGAGCATAGCAATCACCGAATTCTCATCTGTTTCACTAGCCATTTTTCACAGCCGCTGCTTCTTTGTGAGCCAAAACCTTCAAACCTTTTTTCCTTTCCCTGTAGAAAAAAAAATGACGGCGGTTGGGAGCTTGCAAAACTGGACGCTTCTACACACAGCCCTCGTTGCCATTTGTCGAGACAGGAAGAAAGAAAACCTCGCGACCTAAAACCCGCAATGAAAAGAGGGAGAGCGTAATGCAGCGGCACTCCAGGAAAGCAATCCAATCCCCCAGAACAGCTACTCCTTCCAGATATTTCACCTTAAGAAGAGATTGATGCGATGGAACGATGCGACGACGATGCGAGAGAGAAGGACGCTGGCGCTGGCGCTGGCGCTGCCGGGATTTCGCCAAGGAAGACTGGACACGAACTTACCCCCGGAGAAAAGCCCTCTCGCCCAGCTCCTCTAGCCCTAAAATAAATTGCAAATTCTAAGAGCCCTTCCCGTACTTTAAGCCAGAACCTGTACGGAGGTCTGGGTTTCGATTCCCGGGGCGAGCGCGATGGCGTCAAGAGCTCCTCCGCGGCTATGGCGATGGCGACTACATCCGGCCCTGTCTTTAAAGTTAGAGACACGTGTCTCTAATGGGGCTGTGTCCTTAGATTTTAGGGCAAGGCGAGAGCGTGATGGCGGCAATGGTGCCTGGCAGTGCTTTGCGGGGGCGATTGGTGATTGCACTCACAATTGGTACGTATGCATTGTGAATTTCACTGGATCTCAAGCTGCACTCTTGATTTTGCTCGGGATTCCGTAATTTTTCTATGTGCTGCTTAGAAATTCTTCATGAAAGAAGGAAAAGAAGTTTTCGTTCTTTCGCTCTTTCTAAGTGATCTTCTTGGTTTGTTTCTTATTCTTCTTTTCGTTCTTTTCTTCTTCTTTCCTTTTCAGTGAATTAAAAAGCCTCCAGGAGCGTCATGGACGATTATTCTATGGTACCTCATGTACCACTGGAGTGGAATTCATCGCATCAACAAGTCGTGGCAAAACAATCACTAGTTGGTCTATCATGGAGCTCATTAGCAGCATCCTCCCGCGTGGAAAAAGCTAAAAGGCTGCACAAATATCTCGCTGATGTGGTTGAAGTTCCGGACGAAGTTTTTGCGCTAGAGAATCTTCATCAAGTTCTTTCTATTGAGGTAACCAGGAATTTCTTTCCTCGCATCCACCTTACTGTGGTCTTTGTTATATAGACATGGAACTCCTGTCTTTCAGATCTAGAAAAGGAGCACCTGTGCGGATTGCTGCCCCAGGGGTGTGACATCGAGAAAGCCATCACGGCTTTGCTGGCTGGCGAAAATGTGAACTTTGGAAATCCCTTGACGTCATGGCAAGCTTAAAGTTTTCGGTTGGGTTTGATCTGTGAGAAGTCGTTTTCTCGTTTCAGGGGCGAGCTGGCTTGCAGCAGAGCTATGCATCCCGACGTAGTTGTTTTAACACAAGCGCGGATTCACAACGAACGAAAGAACTACCGTGTATCTTTGCGAAAGTTTCATCAAACGTAAGTTCGTCTTAGCTCAGAGATTTGTTTCTGATGATAAAGGCTGCAGAATGATTCAAAACCTTCAGCAGCTCAAAACTTTGTGGAAGGCTTGCAAAACCCAGGAAAACATTTGTGCAGAAACTCAGAGGTGAGCATGTAGTTTTTCTTTCTCTGCATGCTACTTACAGTAAACGGTCTGATCAGGTGGATAAGAGCAAGGAAGCCAGCGTCCTTGTTACTACAAAATTCACACCTTGTGAATGGTGACAATCTAAGCGACATAACAGATGAAGCTTACTTGAGGTATACACTCTCTTCGTTATTCTTTTGTGTGGTCAACTTAAGTTCTATTCCAGGCAGCGATTAAAAAGGCGACGGAGCCTTGTGCCAGAGTCTGCTGTAGAAAGAGCGAACGCTGCTGTCGAATTAGCTATGAACGAATGGTATAAGGCTGTGGATGGCTCGAGCACTGAACTACGAACAATAATGGTACTTTGTTGATAACCTTTTCTAGTGACTGAGAGCACTCGCATGCCTCTTACTTTCAGGTAACACGAAAGCAATTCATCGAGATAGCGAATAGGAAATCAACTGGCGCGGACCTTCGTCTTGACACTCTAAAAGACGTGCTTGGCTGCTCGACAAGATTGCAAACGAGTGACGAGCACTTCAAGAGTTACTGGTTTGTTTCCAAGCACATTTTTTTCGAACTTATCTCGCAAATCTTTTCTTGTCAGGCACTCTCTCGCTCGCAAAGATTTGCCTGAGGTTCATAAAGCTTTCATGAATAGAGTCTCAGGGAGAAAAGAACTGGCGACATTGGTAGCCAAACAATGCATGCATCGATATCCCAAATCCGAGGTTAGTAGGACATGTAACTAGCAATGTCCAGTCGCTGAAAGTGTCTAGCAGAAAAAAAATTCAGGGGCTGTGATGGCGAGGCCCAAAGCCTTGTCTCTCCTTCCAACAGTATCATCAACAAGGTACTCCGTTTCAATTGCTCAAAAGAAAGTATCATGTCTAAATTGCTTGTAAACTTCCCTGGCAGATTTCTTCCGGAGCGATGTAATGCTAATGGTAAACTAGACACCACCAGTGTAAATTCTCAGAGCTTGCTTTACTACCAAAGAGTTGGAGTTCCATCCGAGGACGACGAGCTTGCTTCCATCCAGGAACTATGGAGTTACAATTGTTTGCAGGACGCTCCCATTCATTTGTAATAAAAGGATCCAATATATTTTTTCCTCTTGTGTGATCACTGATGATGTTCAAATCAAGTTAAAAATCAAAATGGATTTTAGCTCAGGCGTTTTAAGTTCTTCGGATTGGGGAACTAGACTCCTAGATCTTCTAGTTGGAAATTCAATAGTGTAGGGTTATTAAATCTTTCAAATTTTAGTTAAAAAGTATACAGAGAGTAGCATCTGTGATTCCAATCCCATTTGCCAGCAGGATTGAATCCGAATGGAAATTGATTTGGCGAAGCATGATGCAACTTAACTATGTTGTTAACAGCTGGTAGCGCACTATACACTGCGATAATCCACATACTCATGGAGCTCTGCTTCTCTTCTTGTTGTGTGCGTGCTTCACTGCTGACAGAGTTCATCTTGTCTACCATCGAGGACCTGCCCTTCAAGAAGAACGCAGTCTCTCCATCAATCCGGAGTTGTTACAAGCTAAGTTTGGAGTTGATGACACACATGGTTTTGCTCCAAGAAAAAATTAATAAAATTCCATTGACCTTTTGATTTTATTTATATTTAAGATTTCTTTTATAATGTTAATGGATAAACTTAAAATATATTAGAACATTCTCGTATATTCTATCATCTTGTGTTTGTAATCTCTAAACTTTCCTAAACACCATATGCTTTATTTCGTTAAAGTGGAATTTTTCATTATCCCACTTATGGTGTGTGGCCACATGCCATTTTTATAACAACAATAAAAAATTGAAGTTTTAGCTTTATAATTTATAAATTAAAAACTTTTCATATGATTTTGTGTTATAATATTGTGAAATATAAAAAATAAATTAAAAAACTGATAGAAATATTAATAAATATTAATTAAGTACTAAGAAATGGCATGTGGACACATGCTAATTAATGTCCCACTTTACTGAATAAGTTCCACTTTAATGAAATAAAGCATCCATCTGATATAAAGATTAATCTTGTGTTTATAAGTTATAAATATGTTTATGATTTAAATATATTTTGAACAACAACACCACAATTCTATATGTTCAATGAACACTCTTCATTCATGAAAAAGCAGATAGTGATAATTTAGATCATAAACACTTATAGCATAGTTACTATAAGGAAGATGATTTATAAAGATAATGGAGTATAATACAAAAGCACATATCAAATGCAAGTTTAAAACTTTTTACATTACCAAAACTTATTTTGGCAAATAATCTTTACAAAAGTTAAGTAGTAATTGTCTTTAAAATATGTGCTGAATACTCATCCAACTTTATATCATTCTTTTATTTTAGAATTTTTAATTAAATTACACAATGATCAAATATAAAAGTAAATAACACTAAAATATTGTATAATATATAGCAACTTATTTAAATTTGAAAATTTAATTGTTATTCTTACTTATATTTTCCAGGAGGTGTTACAAAACATAGTTAATAATTTCTATGCACAAGTAAAACTTTTTGAAGGAAAAAATATTGCATACTAAATCCTTTAATTTTTTTTAAAAAAATGCAATCAATTTCCAGAATAGAATCATAATAATTTACATTAGAAACATCACTAAATGTTATGAAATAATTTCCCTTGAGAGACACTAAAACTTTACAATGGCTATGACACATCTTGATAATCTAGGCTTTGTACACTAAAATCACCTCCAAAAAGATCTTTTTTTGATCCAAAAAAGGTTTTATTTAACAATTATTTACTACTTTATTTCTTTGTATAATTTATGCAGTTTCAAAAAGTATTGTTTAATATCACTTAAAAGTTTAAAATTTGTGTAAAAACTTACAAAATATTTTTTGATCCTTCATTAACTGTTAAACTCTCTAGTGTATAGTGCTCAACATTCATATAAACACTATCTTATATAATTATTTTTAATTAAAATCCTTAATAAATTTAGCTAAAATTACATATTTCATAAAATTGCACTTAATGATTTTATATATTTTCCTCCTTAAAATAATTAGCCTTTGAGTTTTCATGATAATAATATAGAATCTAGTTGATTAAAATCACATAATTATTTAAAAAAATGGCAAATTGATCTAGATATATAGCTTTTAAATCTTAGAATTTTGATGTTAAGCTTATTTAACCATCTCAATAAACTCATTGACTACCTCAATCAAAACTCAATAAAATTAACCATAAAGTTTTATCAAGATTTTTAACTCGTGATAAAAGATTAACAACATTTTTATATTTATGTGGATTGTCTCTCGAGTTGTTCTTTTTTATTGCTTACACAAATTCCATAAGTGGCTAAAATTTAATTTCTTTTGTATAAATAAATACTAAGATATGTTAAATATGGATAATCATACTTATGGATGCCCATAATTAAAGTTTTATGTATTGTATTCTATCATATTAAAATTCATACATAATAATTATATTCATTACAAATTTTTTTTTGTTATTATGTGAGTGAATATATTGTTGAAGTGGATTTGGAGTAGAGTCAAAAATGTTACGCCAAATCCACTCTCCCACTAACTCATATTTACCTTCCATATGACTCCAATTTAACTCACAATTCAGCATTGGCAGAAACAAATTTAGAGTGGCAAGTCTGAACCTGTTACCACAAATGAATTGCCATAGCAAAGATGCAAAATCTCATCATCCCAGTTTGTAAATGTGATCTGAAGCTAGATGTGTAATATGGAATAAGAGATAGGTCATTCCTTAACTAGGTGAGGATGCAAAATCTCATCACTCCCAGTTTGTGAATGCAATCCAAAGCTAGGTGTGTAATATAATGAAGTGAGAGATAGGTGATTCCTTAGAGAAGAAGAAGCTAGAGTACATCAGCATTGGCGAGGCAGACAACAAATGCCTCACATTGTTCCTCTGGATGACGTAGATAGTAGCTCTCCAACCAACACTGGCAGTTAGCTTAATTAAATATTGAACATAGAATTACTACAAGTTTTTCACTAAAATCGTTTCGAATTAAACTTTCAAAAACCTGCTATTTGGAGCACGTCTTGGGCTCACCTTCGCTGCATTGATATATCAGGGCTCTTTCCACTCTTCCTTCACTTTCAATGCTCATCCAAGCCAGCATTCGAATTATCGATCAAACAATGTAGCGAAGGCAAGCCCAAGATGTGCTCTGACCATCAGGTTTTTGAAAGTTTAATGTGTGAGCTTCCCTCTGTAGAAGCAAAGCTATGTCGTGCCTACAGTTTGGAATCGTGACTCACCAGTTGCTGCTCCAAGCAGGCATCCATGTAGAAAATGCAACCTGACCCTCACCAAGGGAAAAAGAGGAATTAAGAATATTCTTTTTTTCAAGCCCTAATACAAGAAAATCACAGCCGTGAGATTGAAAAATATATTTTGTAGTTACACAAAAAGGATATAAAATGCACCGACTACAACTCTTTAGTGCTATCTAGTGGTACAGGTAGGTCTATGGCGTTATTTCTAGTGTTGGTGCTCCTCTGCTTTACAGGTATTAGTGATGTAGTGGCTAAACCTGCTCTCGATTGTGCAGCTCTACTGCTCCTCAAATCTTCCATCACAAATGACCCAATTGGATTCCTCACGAGCTGGAACAAAACCAATGTAAACTGCTGCCGAGGCTGGAAGGGCGTAAGATGCAACAAAACTACGTCCCGAGTGATCCATCTCATGCTCAGCAATGGCCAGCTCTCGGGAACTCTCCATGAGAGCGTTGGATCACTCTCGAGCCTGGAAAAGCTCGATCTTTCCTACAATCACCTGACAGGGGCAATTCCAAGCACGGTTACCAAGCTCTCTCGGCTCCGGCTGCTTGATCTAGCTTACAACTATGGATTCCAGGGCAGCATTCCATCTTCCATTGGTGGCCTTTCCAGCTTGAAGAGGATCCGGCTCCAGTCTAACAAGCTCACGGGCAGTGTTCCATCTTCGTTTGGACTGCTCTCTAGCCTCGTCTATGCGGAGCTCGATGATAACTCTCTCGCTGGCCAGATCCCCAACGCCTTCACTCGCAACTTATCCAATCTGGCTTTGCTCGATCTCGCGAAAAACAAGTTGACAGGGCTTCCACTGAATCTCCGCCGCCTCGCACGGCTTGGAATTCTCTACTTGAGTTCGAATCCACTCACTTTCGACACCATCCAGGGGCTCTCCACGCTGCCTTTCCTGGGCGAGCTCCACCTTGACAACTGTGGTCTCCAAGGCCCCATTCCACCATGGTTGGCGACCCTCAAGCTTCGAGACTCAGACGACTTCCTCACGTCTATGCTGAGCTTGTCAAGCAACAGTATATCTGGTCCCATTCCCCGGACGATTTCCAGCCTTTCCAGTGTTGAGATCCTGCGACTGAGCAGTAACAAGTTTTCTGGGGCGATTCCTTCGTCCATGGGAAGCATGCTGAGTTTGAAGCAGCTATCTCTGGAGAATAACCAGCTAAGTGGTGAGATCCCCGGGAGCCTGGTAAACCTGGACTTGTTGAGGTGGTTTAACGTGAGTAACAACAAGCTGAGCGGACAGATACCTCAAGGTGGAGCGTTTTCTACGTTTGATGCTAGCTGCTTTGCAGGAAATCCAGGGCTTTGCGGAAAGCCTCTGCCTTCATGCTAGAGATCACAGTAACAAAGGAAGTTAAGACTGATAAGCAGCGAAGATTAAAAAACTCAAGCTAACAAAGAAAAATATGAAAAAACCCGAAAACCCAAGCTTGCCTGAAGCAAAATCGGGAGAACACACTCGCCGTCTGTGGGAATTGAACCCACGACCACGTGGTTAAAAGCCACGCGCTCTACCGGCTGAGCTAAGACGGCTTGGTTCTACATCTTTGGAAGAATTCTGAAAGAAACTAAATGTATGGATGAGCCTGTTGAATTCTCACTTTTATTCATAACCGAAACCATGAAAGAAAAAAGACAGAAATTAAGGAGAGAAACAATGAACCAAATTGTACATGTTAAGCTCTTTTTGCATGAAACTTCATTCGTTATGTATGAATGAATGTTTCTTGCAAAAAGAGATTAAATATGAATGAAGTTTCTTGCTGACTGTAGCTAGAAACTTCCGCTGCTAATCTGAATCTTCCTTTCCACCTGGGATCCCGACTTTTACCTGGGAGATTTTCTGAGATTGCATGCAGCTGCAAGGTGGCCGGCATTACTAGGACCTGCAACTTTGGAGTTTGTGGCTCGATCTTTCTGCTCGGTTTGATTTCCTCCACACATTCTTGAACTGGTTTGGATATTGGATCCTGTGATTGAATTGCATGACAACGATCTCATTGCCAAGAGGACGCGCTCGCGATCCGCCCACATCCCCTCGCCCGCGTAGATCCCAGCCATGAGGAGATAGATCGCAGCATGGCGCTCGCCCAGATCGATCAAAGCCTCAAACGCAACCTCGCCAATCTCCACGCGCCGCCACTTCCGGCACGCCGCGAGCACAGTCCTCCAAGTCACCGCATTTGCCGCGAATGGCATCTTTCTCGCCATCGCCACCGCCTCCTCGACCCGATTCGATCGCGCTAGCAGATCGATCACGCAGTGGTAGTGCTCGATCTCGGGCTGGATCCCAAATCGCGGCTCCATCGACTCGAAGAGCTCTAGCCCTCGATCCACCTGCCCGGCATGGCTGCAAGCGTGGAGGATCGACACAAACGTCGTTGCGCTGGGGCGAAACCCATCGCCTTGCATCGCATCCAGCGCCGAGATCGCCCCCTTGGCATCGCCGGCGCGGCCATAGCCAGCGATGATGGAGCTCCATCCCACGAAGCTCCGGGATTCTTTCGCCATGGATGCGATCACGCGCTCGGCGTCGTCCATGCTGCCGCATCGCGCGTAGCAATCCAGCAGGCAATTCGCGAGGATGGGATCCGGCTGGAGCAATCCGTGGCTGGAGACGCGGGCGTGGATCGATCGCGCCATGTCGATAGCGCCCAGATTCGCGCACGCGCCCAGCGCCGCGCAAAAGCTCCGCTGGTTTGGATTCTCCATCTGTGAGAAGAGATCGAGAGCTATGGCGGATGATCGATCGTCCTGCTGCGCGGCATAGCCGCGAATCAGAGCGTTCCATGACACGACACTCCTCTCCTTGATCGAATCAAACACCGCTCGGGCTCGATCCAGGCTTCCACAGCGCGAGAACATATCCACGGCGGTGTTGGCAACGAAGATGTTGGAATCGCAGCCCATTGCCACTGCCATAGCGTGGAGCTCGATAGCTCGATCGAGAGCCTTGATCGTCGAGAAGATGCCCACCCTCTTCTTCTCCTCGAGCTCTCGATCGGCAAGGCCCGAGCACGCCATGAACGCCGCCACGATCGTCCGGGAGTTTGGGACGATCCCAATCCCGCCCATGGCATGGAAGAGCTCCAGCGCGAGCTCGCATTGCTCGTTCTCGACATTGCCCAGGATCAGTGCCGTCCACGCCACAACGTCGTGGCGAGGCATTCGATCAAACACCGCGCGAGCATCAATCAAGCTGCCACACTTGGAGTAGCAATCCACCAGCGCGCTTGAGAAGAAAATGTGTTGGATCGAGTTGTTCTTCTCGGCCTTGGAGTGGAGGACCATCGCCTTCTCCAGCCACGCAACCTTGGCGTGATCGTGTTCTTCGTGCGATGCCAGGCTCGCGATCGCGACCAGCGCCGCGACATAAGCCTGCGAGCTAAGATCCACAAATCTCGACTCTAGTTCCAACCTCTGGAAGATCTCTAGCGCGAGATCACTGTCGCCATTCACCGCATACCCGAGGATCAATGCCGTCCACGACGCAAGCGTGTGGAAGGGCATGGCAAGGAAGATCTTGCGTGCGTCCACCATGCTTCCACACTTGGAGTACATGGCGATGAGAGAATTGGCAACCCTAATGTCGGAATCGAGGCACGCACGGGAGGCCTCGGCGTGGATTCCTTGGCCGCGGCCCAGATCTCTGGAATCGCGGCAGCCCTTGAGGGCCGCGAGGAGAGCCTGGCATTTGCTCTTGGGAGCGAATTTGCTCATCCATTCCTGCCCTAGAAAGAATCTGGTCAGCAGACACGTGGCTTCTTAATAAAACTAAAAACATTTGTTACAGCTATTTTAATTTAATATTAATATGTGTTATTATATATAGATATGGTTTTTTGATTGATTACACATAATTAGAAGTATAAGAACTTAGGTAATTTAATCGAAATTTATTCAAACTAAATATGGAATATATTTTCCATTTGGTTTCAATTTTATTTAATCTTTTTAGTTATACATATTATTAAAATTAAATTGTGAGTGCTTGGAATATGGAAAGGGAATACAGAAAATATGCATATTAATTAGCCCAAAAACCCTAGTTTATATACAGGAACAAATGATCCAGATTGAAACCAATCCAACAGCTACCAAAATCCCACTACACTAATATTAGTATACGGCATCATAGCTATATACTTGGCCCTCACATCATCCCTTCCTTTCAAAATAATGGAAAACCATCATGGTTCTCTTGTAGATGGGCTAGGATCTGGAAGAACATCAGGAGGAGGCATTGGTGGATCTGTAGGTGGTATTAACTACTCCTGATCCCTTTGTATGAAGCATTTCAATTGCTGCACATGCACAAACTTTGCACCCCTGTGACATATGCATATTGAAGAGACAGTAAATAACCATCCCAATCCGAATGTTGAAAGTTCAAGCGCACTTGTCTAGTGTGGGAGGCAAGGTAGCACGCTCTAGTCTAGAGCTGGAGGAGGCTCACACCTTGCTTGTTCTACGCCTTGGAGTTTGTTCGCAATGGGCACCGACTTAGTGCTGGAAGTACACTGGGGAGGTAGGCGCTCCAAGACACAGCATCACGTCTTGGGGCGTAACAGGTGGCTTCAGCTTGTGCAGTGGAATCACCTTGGAGGTGAGTGACCCATGAGCGACGCTGGGTCATCGTGCTCGAGTTGGACTGCTTGGCTGCGACGACGTTGAGCTAGATCGACACGGTGTTCGTCCGGCTTGACATCATTGTGACCGAGTGGAGGAGTGGCGAGGCGAAGCAGGTGGCTTCAAGCTCCGCGGTGGAGTCACCTGGGAGGTGGACGGCCCAAGAGCAGCGCCGGGCGTTCGCGCTCATAGTTTCACTAGTTTCTTCGAGAGTGCGCTCTCAATGTTGTTTTGATCCCTTTGGGATTGGGGTAATGTACATATATGTTTAGCGAATGTTGAAAGTTCACATACTTCGCGATCATCCCTTTGAACGTTTAAATGAGCCGTTCCACCAAACCATTTGACTATGGATGATAAGCACTCGTAAAAGTGTGGCATATCCCCAACCAAGACTTCAAAACATGAAATGCCTCAACCATAAATGCAGGACTATTATCCAAAAGAATCTGCTCTGGACAAAAATGTGGAACACCACTCGATTGAGGAGGAAGTATCCAACAACAGTTGCAAAGGCGTTAACAAGAGCACCAACTTCCACCCAACGAGTCAAGTAGTCAGAAGCAATAATAATATATCATTACCAACATTACTAGCATTACTATCATTACCAACAGTCGACCGTGGAAAAGGTCCCATAAGATCAAATGCCACCAACTTAAACGGATGGGAAACTGCAATTAACTCCAACCATCCTTCTGCGACACGAGGGGGAGTATTACGAGCTTAGCACCAAACGCAGCTACATACATACCGGATAATATCATGTTGCATCTCCGGCTAATAAAAAGACCTGCGTAGCTTCTCGGTCACACGACGATGTCCCATATGCCCACCTAGAATAGGAGAATCATGGTAGGCATAGAGAAACCCCAAAATAAAGATAGAAGGCACCACCAGCTGTAAATGATCATCAGGATCCGTCCCCATAAAATAAAGAAGGCCATCTTCAAGGCAATATTGAGAATGTAAATGCTGGAAAGGTAAGTCATCAACAAGTGATGCAGGATTCTCAACCCATCTCGAAACCTTTGAATCCACAGCTCAATCTTTTGAGCCTCGCGAACCTCATCAAAATAAGGTAGATCTTGCTCTATGCCTTGTGGACATTGAACGTCAAGTACAACAACCGGCGTCGGCACAGAATCCTCGTTTAAAAAATCCACAGATGTTAGAACAATAGGCTTGTTAGAAACATGAAAAAAGAGTGGAGAAGGAAAAGGAGCTCGAAAAAGGGCATCAGCATCAGCCATGGAACTCCTTAGGTGATGAACAACATCAAAATCATATATCTGAAGCTTCAAAGCCCATCGAGCAGTACGACCAACCAGGTTCTTCTGCTTCAATAATGAAGTAACAGTAGCATGGTCACCTTCAAGTAATATCCAAGAACCATGTAGATATGCATGTAGTTTCTCGAAACCTCAAACTACTGTTAAACACTCCTTATCTGTCATGGAGTAGTTCATCTCTACTGGTTGTAATATACGGCTTATATACACAATAGGATGGCACTGACCAAGCACACTTGCGCTCTCTTGCATTAACACACTTCCAAGACCAATCCACGTGCAAAATAAAAGGTCGAGTGTAATTAGGAAATGCCAAAATTGGAGGAGTCGTCAATAGCTTTTTGAGATCCTTGAACGCCCGCTCACAATCCAGAGACCAGATAAAAGATGATGTTGATGACTTCAGCAATGCTCACAATGGTGCAGTGCGATCAGAAAGATGATCCACAAAACGACCGAGATACTGCACCTTGCCCAAGAAGCATTGCACATCAATCACACACTTCGGAGTAGGAAACTTTAGAATAGCCACAAGTTTGTCAAGATCAACTTGCAAACCCTCACGAGAAATATGGTACCCAAGATAAATTGTGTCCTTGGACCCAAACATGCACTTCAACCGCTTCAGCTTTAAACCAATGTCGCATAGCTGATCCAACACTTTACAAACATCACGAATGTGCTCCTCCCACGTCCTCTCCGAGTGGATCAAGACATCATCAATGAAGTCAGCAATCACTCTGGCATATTGCAAAGAACCTCGTCCATTATCCGTTGGAAAGTTGCTAAAGCATTGTTCAAACCAAACAGCATCACTAAGAACTCATACAAACCAAATGGTGTACGAAAAACAGTCTTAGGAATATCTTCTTCGGCCATCGGTACTTGCTAGTACCCAGAAGCAAGATCTAGCTTGGTGAACCAACGACTTCGCCCCAGATGATCCAAGAGATCAGCAATGTGAGGAAGAGGGTACACATTCGGGATCATCACTTCGTTTAATGGACGATAGTCGATGCAGAAATGAATACTCCCATCAGGCTTCATCACAAGATGAGGTTCACATGCCCAAAGACTCTAGGACTTCCGAATAACACCCTTTTCCAACATCTCTTTAACGTTTGCATGTAAAATTTTGATCTCCTTGGGTGACCGACGACGAACAGGAACCTTGATTGGACAAGCATCCCCAGTTGGAATCGGATGACGTGTGGCAATCTTGGCCCCAGACGATAGGTCAAATTCAAAGAGATCAGAATACTCTTTCATGAGCCGGTCAACCACTACAACATAAAGATTATTGGAGGGATTGAAAAAGGGAAGAGTAAAATAAGATCGAAATACAAGAGGAAATAGTGGGGGAACAAAAATAATGGAAGCAAAGGTAGAAGTAAAGGGACGAAGAGGTATAGAAGTGAGAGGAATGGATAAAACATAAGGAAGTATGAGACAAGGGGTAGAAGCCTCAAAGTCACACTTGGCATGATTGCACTGCAACCAATCCATACCAAGAATAAGGTCAAAAGCTTGACTCGGCACCACCCGCAACGATTGCAACTCAAGCTCGAGATCACCCACACGCACAACTAGGTCCGCCTCATCCCGTGCACATGCATGTGTACGACTGTTGCCATAAAGAATGAAAGCTGATTCCACTACACGATGCAAGTGTAAACGACAATGTGTGGCAACAGGTCAAGCAATAGAAGATAAACTCGAACCTATATCAACTAACATAGAGAGAATGATAGGAGACCTCTTGTTATAAAAACGAGTTTCGAAAGTAAATACTGAATGAACTGGTGCTGAGTGAACCCCTTGATAATACTCCCGAAAGAAAGATAGAGGGGTCACTGACTTATTCGCGCAAGGTCCCTCTATTACTTGTGCAACTCCTTGTTTCCCGTATGCACCTCGGTGTCTAAACCTTCCACTGCAACAGCACCAACAGGACGTTGCTGATGCCAAGGTCTCCGCCCAAGAAATGGAGGTCGCCAATCCGGAAAATGCTGACAACGTCGATAAGTATGACCAACTTCATCATACGCCCAACAGCGAACATCACGGCCACGACCATGTCCTCACCCTTGTCCTTGGACTCGAGCAGTAGCAACATCAACCTCCATTGGAACAGGACCATCACTCATAGGAAGTGGAGTTGAAGGATGTGCAATGAGAAGTGGAAGAGGTAATGTCTCATAACATTGTGCCAAACGAAGAGCATCATCAAGGTGGCGGGAGCAAGTGTATGCATAAGTCCGACAAGATCTTGATGAAGTGTTGGCCACAACATTCCTAGCTTGATCCACTCCGACATATTGGGTTCCACACGAAGCAAAAGACTTCGGAAACGAACGCTAAATTGCATCACCGACTCAGATGGCCCTTGGCGAAAACGATACAATTGTTAGAAGGCATCATCACAGTTGTCAACATGTCCGAATGCGCATTTGAAGATGTCTGGGAGAACACTCCAATCCCCATACACTCCAATCCCCATGAGTGACTGCTCTTAAACCATTGTACTACTGTAACACCGTCCCTTGGAGACACGTGGGAAACTCATGCAAACATCAAGCATCATCCGAAGAATGATATGTGGCAATCACCGTGAAGTGATCGAACCAATGGTACACATCATCCCTAGGATTCCTGCAAAAGAACTCCGACCGAACGCGAGGATTGGCACCAAGAGCAAGAGAAGTTGTACCACATGCCATGAATGCCACCATCAATTGAGTTTGATTGTTCAATTGCAAGCACATAGCATCAAGCAATTGGACCAACTGTTGCTCAAGA